GAACATTTGATTTTTAATTTTTTTTTAAATATTTTAAGACATTTTAATTTTGTACAAGTGAACGTTCTAATTAGTTAAATATTTCTATCTTATACTTAATCGATTTCTTTTGTCAAACAGCTCTCAAATATCCTAGAATTTTAATTTATACAAAAAAACAATAAAAAATAAAAATAAACACAGAGGCGCGATTCGAACTCACGACCTTCAATGCGTACAACACAGAATTAACCAAACATGCGATTTATACTACGTGTCCTGTCAGTGGTAGTAATAGCATTTATAAACCCGTGCCGAAATCCAATATAATATTACCTACGCCACTGTGTACAAGCTGTCTCTTATACACATCTATAACGAGCCAGGCGATCAGGTAGATCATTATCCATTTAAAAAAAAAAAAAAAAAAAAAGACTTCATTAATTCCTCTCCAACAACTAATGCTGGGCCTACAAGGGCGGTTCCAGAATTTTTCAAACGGGGTGGGGTAAGGGGGCACAATAGTTTCAGAATAGGTAAGTGAGTAGCACACAACATTGATTTGCATTGAAATTTTGTGGCAAAACCGGGGTGGGGGGAGGGAGGAAACTTACTGGATCTTCCCCTGCCTACTGACGTAATAATGGTTTGTGGAAGATGTATCCCGTTTTGTGTTAAATTTAAATTTGTTTACTACTGGCCTGAGAAATAGTGGACACGCTCAGTGGCGTGATTAGGTTTTGAGGGCCCTCGGTTCGAGAGTACCGTCGAGGCCCTTGACGCATATAAATCCATACTAATACCATCCCCCGCCGAACATCCTTCACCCACTTATTAAATCAAATATTGTATATTTTAACTGAAGTAATCCATAGCATTATCCCCCGACGGGCACCATGCTTGTTCTTAGCCTATGTTTCGGGGCAGGAAAATTGATTACATGTCTTACGATATACTGTATATATCGTAGCTATATATTCAATTCAATTGAATTTTATCAGCTACTAGTGCAATCAAGGGCAAATGTCCGCATCAACAATATATTTACAATAATTATATACAATAAATACAAAAAAAGAACAAATTAATAGATAAATTATATTGTTGTTAAAATGAAATTAAGGTATGACTCACTTAATATCAGATGCTGTGGCGGAGAATGTTTACAGTACTAAGGGATAGTGAATAAGGAAGGGGGGGGGGGGAAAGTTTTGAAACCGAGACGTTTTTGCATTGAATCGGACATATATTATATATAAAGCATAAGTAATGCATGGACGTGACTTTCACCCTATCACGATCTTCAGATAAACTGAACGTTACCATACAGTTATGCAGGCGTATTTTGCATATTTACGACGGTCAGGTGGAATTTTTTTATGCCTACATTTTAAGTAATAGATCTTTTTGTGTATTCGAGGCCGTTATGGCAAAGTGTTATTATTATTATTATTATTATTATTATTATTATTATTATTATTATTATTATTATTATTATTATTATTATTATTATTATTATTATTAATAGCGGCCAATTATTTATATTATTATAATTATTGGCTTCGATGGGAAGCTCTAAAAAATTGATTGGCGCCATTTTATACACAGAAACTAGAGGTAATTTCCAAGAAACATTCATGGCCCATAAGTTGTACCCCAATGTGCACCATACACTCAATACGAATCAGGGGGTTTCAGCAAGGACTGCACATTACTGCCATTACTACTATGAAAGACGTCGTATGGATGGCTCGGTCGGTTTATACGCCTTCCCATGCAAGGGTTTTATGCTCACACCCTTGGTTCCATAGGGCGTGAGCTCGAATCGCGTCTTTGTGTTTAATTTTAATTTTTCTTTTTTTAACATTTGATTTTTAATTTTTTTTTAAATATTTTAAGACATTTTAATTTTGTACAAGTGAACGTTCTAATTAGTTAAATATTTCTATCTTATACTTAATCGATTTCTTTTGTCAAACAGCTCTCAAATATCCTAGAATTTTAATTTATACAAAAAAACAATAAAAAATAAAAATAAACACAGAGGCGCGATTCGAACTCACGACCTTCAATGCGTACAACACAGAATTAACCAAACATGCGATTTATACTACGTGTCCTGTCAGTGGTAGTAATAGCATTTATAAACCCGTGCCGAAATCCAATATAATATTACCTACGCCACTGTGTACAAGAAGCATGGAGGATATTTCCTCCTTTATTTAAGCATATATTTTAATACATTCTACTGCCTCTATTATACTGCCCTCATCGGAGATTTCGAGATTACGAGATCTTGTTATTAAGTAGGATTGCCTTATTAGCATTAAGAATCACTTTTACCAAATGGTGCGTTTTTTTACTGATGAGCGTTTTACTATGTGCTCCATATTAAATTTGATTATCTCATTTTTTTCCCTTTTCATATTTTTGTTATTATTATCCATTTCTTTTAATGAGGCTTTGTTTTTATTCAATTTTACGATAGAATTTTTATGTATGCTACTTATTTGATAAACTTGAATTGAATAATATTTAAGCAAACCAATAAAAAGATAAATACTTGTTTTATTATTATTAACTCACACTTTTTAGGGCACTGAACTTTGATTTGCCCTTAGGCATATTATGTGAGGTTCCCTTACAACATGTAAATTGTATACCGTCGTGGTACACGGATTTTTCCAATTCGACGACAGCTGCTGTCGGAAGCGTGTAGCGATTTTATGGAAACTAGGCTTTATTCAACATATCGGACGGCAATGTGAAAGATATTGCTGCTCGAAAATAGAAAAAAAAATACTTTGAAGGTAAACATTTGACGTCACGATTGAATTCATAACGATCAAGACATCTCTCAATTAAATTATAGATACTGCAGAATGGCTGGAAATCAATATGGATAAATTCTACAGTGTTTCAATGATCACGATAATCAACCACGTTGGTTCAGGTAACTGTGATATCATTGGTCATTTATATAGTATAATCATGTGTGTGGGGGCTGTCTCTTATACACATCTAGATGTGTATAAGAGACAGGTATATGACTGTATGTCGTATGAATCTGAAATAATATACCGGTACCAATATATTTCTGTGGTATTGTGATGACGCTCTCGTTGTTTGTGAAAGTGTGCAGGATCCTGTTCTGTCGCAGACACTTTTCCATACAAAAAATTAACGATTTTGTTTATCATTCAGATTCTGCGAACGAGCTTTATAAACGCCTGATAGGTGCTTATGTTTCAATATCGGATAGAACAACAAGCAAAATCTGTGGTCAGGTAATAGATGAAACCATGGTCAACAGAAGCGCCATTGTTAACGTCATATGCAATCCACCGCTGATTGGGCAATTTGTAAATGTGAATTTTGGAACGCAAAACATCGGGGAAAACATCTGTGAAGTTCGGGTCTACAGCGATGAAATCGAAATAAGTAAATAAATAAAGTGTAATGTTTTTTTATTGCAGACATTTTGTCAGGTAACAATCGTTTTTTCCAGACAAAACTCAACCATAAAACATCATAAGCATCTCAAAAAGATGGAGGAATCATTAGTGATTCCGCCTAAAGACTTATCATGGGGGAAACGGAATCTCTGGCGGCGTCAGTGAAGTAGCCAGGGACTAGCCTCAGTCCCTGCCTGCGTCGGGAGCTCGAAACAATTCGACGGGGAGAAAAATAATTTCTTCAAATCCTTAATTGTCGGAACTCCAGGCTGCAGGGGCTTCGTCCTCTAGATCCCCACTTGTGGAGATCTGGGCGGCCAGTCCCAGGCAACACCCACTTCGCTCTCGATCAGAACATTAGGCCCGTATCCCGGGGTGGGGAAGTGATGCAATGGTGTGTATGCAACACCAGCTATGGTGACTTAAGAAGGAACTCTGTCAACCGAAAAAGTCAAAGATCGATTATTAAGAATACATAGGCTATACGGTAACTATCAATATGGCAACCCGATTTTTTTTTTCAAAACTTCCAAATTGTTTGGTTAAATTCCCTCTTTACTAGATAAGCTGATAACAATTGTAAGTCAAACATTTAATATTAAATAACACTTAAAATTGATTTTCGCTGACAATCTTGATAAAATGAAATGTTTTCATCCCAAAATAGGTTCATAAACATTCATAGTAAAGCGCCTTCCCAGCAAACACAAAACTTTCTTAGGGCCTACGACGTTCACGAACGCTGTGGTTTGGTATGTCACAAAATAAAGTTCATAGAACGTTGTAAGAATGTTCAAACGTTGTGACGTGAAATTAGGATATATATAAGTACGTACATAATGGTTCTACAAAATAACGTTTTTATCACCAAACTGCAACGTTATTATAACGTTCTTATAACGTAATATTAGGTAGTTTTACCGCACGACGTTAACATTAACTTAAACATTAGTACCCAACATGCAACGCGATAGCTCCGCCCCTTTTTTTAGACAAATCGAAATACGCATGCGCAAACTTGTAACAAATGTACGTTTAGCACGTAAAATCATGAAATTAGGTAGGTCTACCGTAGTTTTCGCCGCACGACGTTAACGTTAACGGATGACGTCATAATTTATTCATTTTGCGTTGCGGAGCTATGCCTCTATGTTAATTTCAGGATTTTACGTGTTCGACGTACGTTAGTTACGGGTTTGCGCATGCGTATTTCGATTTGTTTAAAAAAGGGGCGGAGCCAGTATCTACGGCTCTGGGCGGAGCTATCGCGTTGCATGTTGGGTACTAACGTTAAAGTTAAGGTTAACGTCGTGCGGCGAAAACTACCGTACCTATTTACGTACTCCGCAACGCAAGATGAATAAATTATGACGTCACCATTAACGTTAGTTAACGTCGTGCTGCGAAAACTAACTATTGTTAGCTGATGCGCTCGGGGAGTCGGTGACCAACCCCGGCCGAATTACTCGATCAACACGATGGAAAATACACTATATAATAATGATTCATAGTATTATTCCGTTTGTCTGGACTTCTCACATTATAAGTATTTCGTTCGAGATCTAGTAATGCATAGAAGAGGGCATGTCTGACTGTAGCCATAATTGCGCTGTGATGTCAGACACGATAACAAGAATGAGAATCACACTCTACTGGAACTTTAATTCACCAGTCAACTTCCTATGACGCTTAGTATGTAGGCGAAAAATCTGGGTTCGAATCTTTTGTAGATTGATTGTTTTTCTCTCTGTCGAATTCGCTTCTGTCTTCATTTATACATGTTTACCCATATTTCTAAATGCAGCATTAAGATATCAATATCCTGAAATTTTAACAGATATTACTGGTGAATAAAATAAGTAAACATACCGGTAATTGTTTTATCATTCATTGTCAGGTGAGTGTTTTTTGGAAACATATATGCAAGACTACAGAGGTATCGTCGGTAAAACAGCAAGTGGTTACCTTTGCCAAAAATGGTCTGTTCAATGGCCTCATACCCATTCATACGCTCCTCTTCCGCACAACCTTTGTCGCGCTGTTACTTATCATGAGGTGTGGTGTTACACTGTAAATCCTGCTGTCAGGTGGGAAAGGTGTGACATTCCTGCTCTCGGTGAAACCTGTCCCCGTGGTAAGAATATTTTATCGACTTAACAATTTATTGATTAAAAATTCATTAATAAATTATAACAACAAATAAAGCATTTGTTTGTTTGTTTGCTTGTTAAAATAACCACAAGAAAATCGTTTTGGTATACCACTATTGGCCTATAAGCCGGACACTCGGCCGACGCAATTCTATAAAGAACGCAACGCCACGATGCGCGCGCAACGGTTCGTTTTTAATGACGATCTGTGCTGGCTGCCACCGACACTCAGCTGACGGCGTTGCGTCGTCTAGCGCTCACAGGGAGCGGAGTAGGCTTCATCGTATCATCGTACTGTGCAGTGAGTGCCCGGCTTAGCCAAGCCTGGTTTCCATAAAAATCGCTACACGCTGTCGCCGACTCCTTTGGCGACTCTGATTGATCGGTCGAATCGGGGAGCCTTCCCGATTGCGTCGGGGTCTGCTACGCAGTAGCATTCAACGACTTCACTTAAAAAGCTGTAACGATTGTATGGAAACTGAGCATCATGGTTCACGTTAGAGTGGACTATACATTATTTCATCTGCTTTTATGATTCTTAAATCTAATTACATAATCATTTAAAACAGAATGTCGAATACATAAGTTTTGATTTTCTGCGATTTTTCCACTTTAGCTCCATTCACACGAAACTTACATCCGTTGAACACTTGTTATCGAGATTCTTATTGGTTGCTGTTCAAAGAGTCAATGCTTATAGCGGCTGTAGCTGACTTAAGTAGACAGACTGTCAAAATAAACGTCCCAATGAACATCAAAGCTAGAATACCTAATGACGGAAGATTTCAGCAGTGCGGAAATACTTTAACACTTGCGTTCTACATTTTTCCTTACCGAATTTCAAACGGTCCAATAATAGCATTCGGAAATGACAACACGCGGTTTTCTATCGTTCAGACACTCGCGAATGATGCCCTTTATAACTCCGAGGTAATTGTTTATTATGGATTAGAAGCGGCTGTCAACGCAAAAGTACTTTTACCTGAGACTTGGACATTTCTTGCCGTCACGTTTGACGGCCAGCACAAAGTTCTGAGACTTTGGCGGGATGGAGAAATTGCAAGCATTGGAAATACTGGTTTTACAAGCATTCGGATGGATTTCGATGACATCGAAGTTGGGTCGGATGCAGTGGGGTATGATGGTGTAGTGGCTGAAGTAGGCTACCTGCAAATTTACGACCGTATCTTGAACGAAGCAGAGATGAAAGCAGCCAGAGACAAACGTACGTTCATGCATTCTTTATCACATGTCTTGTTATCACGTTTTTGATTTTACAATATTTTAAGATTTTTTTCCATAAAATCGCTACACGCTATCGCTGACAGCTTTGGTCGAATCGGGAACTTTCTTGTTTGTGTAGTTAAGCAGCTCAAGGTTGCCATGAAGATTAGGGACAGTGAAGCAATTTTATTGAAACCTGGCTTCAGCCATAATGTTAGCCTATACCATTCAACCACACATAATATTCCTAATAAACTCCACTCCGTTCCATGCTATTTAATCAATTTTGTTCTTAATTATTTAACGAATCGAGTACAATTATTATGTTAAAATTTGTAAAATTATTTCAGATACTTCTTAAATCGATTACCGGTGCCCCACAAGGCACCGTGCTTGCTCTGTTCTTATTTACAATATACACAGCAGATTTTAGATCTGCTGTCGAATGTCTTAGTATCTACTCCTATTACTGTGATCGTAGGTCTAATTAAAAAGGACGACCTGACCCAATATAATTTCGAAATTCAAAGATTTGTCTCTTACTATAAGGATAACTTCCTTCAAATTAACACCGAGAAAACCAAAGAAATGGTGATTGACTATCGAGAAAAGCGGGTTGAAGAAGTACGTAGCAGTTGTTATTGAAAAAAAAATAAAGAAATTGAACAGATTACATCGTATAAATATCTGGGGGTGACATTATAAACTTACATGAGGAATTTTTGTTGATCATCTGGTCAAGAAACTTAATGTTAGGATGTTGAAATATTTCTGAAAGTAATAGGGACAGACTACAAAGGTTTGTCAAGGTTTGAGAGGATTATTGGTTTGCCACTGCAGACGCACTCAGTCTACCTAGAGCGAAGGCGTCGGTTCGGTTCCGGAGCTCTGGTTGGTTGCGCACATTTTCGCATCGCAAAAAGTAGAAACAGTTCGGACTACCGATTTCACTGAAGCGAAAACTCCGATAGAAATATGAATGCGCATGCCCATGAACGACGCCGAGTTTCTAAAACAGGACTAAGGTCTTGCTTTGTGACTGTACTGGTCTGTGTAAACTCATGCACGATACAGCCAAACTTCCGAACATTTTATTCAATACGACAAAAAAAAAAAAACGAATTCGGATATCTTGAGGTTTATATACATGTGCTTATAACATATGCACATTAGAGTTAATTCATTCTAAATAGGTATTTGAATACAAAGTAGTGTCGTAACTTGTTGGCACGTTAAAGTTACGTAATTCAAATTCTAGTTTTTCAAACAGTCTAAGTCAAATGCTTAGTTTAATATCGTAGCTCTAATTTATTCTAAAATAGGTACCGTATTTGAATACAATAGTGTCGTAACTTGCACGTTAAAGTTACGTAATTCAAATTCTAGTTCAAATGCTTAGTGTAATCTCGTAACTTTGAACTTGTCTGTTAAGTTCAGGATTCTTCCATTTAATATGGAGGGATTCTTTGATTTTTAATTGATACTGTGTATTTGCTTTATCTATTATTTCAAAGCACTTTTTGTTACTCCAATTACTGTATTTTTTATGTGTTTGTATATGTGAATTTTTATCCCTGTGTAAATGCAGTACCGGTACTCCTCTATCCTTGTTGCAAAATGGTCCGGGAAGCCTCCCCAATGAATGAGGCCTTACAGGCTCCACATGCCTACACAATTACTGATATACAACGTTGGACCTGAGGTCGTTAGGCCTACTAATAGGGTCTTTAATATTGAAAAAAACTACTTACTGTAGTTTCGTTGTGCTAAATAGAATGTTGATTAAATTGCTACAATATTATTATTATTATTATTATTATTATTATTATTATTATTATTATTATTATTATTATTATTATTATTATTATTATTATTATTGTTAATATTGGTTCGACACTGCAGACTGTGCACTCAGTCTACTTAGAGCGACTACTAGGTTTCAAAGTTTTCGCGGATGCATTTGATATTACCTTTGGAAAGAGTAGTAGGAAAGAGTCAGCAGTGTACATATATTTGTGTTCAGTTACTTTAAATTGGGCTTCCTTTACATTTCAGAGATTCCTAAATGTGATGGCTTGTTTCATGTTACTTCGTCATCTGGTTATTCAGAAGATCAACCTATGGTAAATTCAAAAGTACCATCTACCATTATGTGTGCCTTCAGATGTCATCAAAACCTGGATTGTTTTGTATTTCGATACAACTCGGAAACCAGAGTGTGTACAGAGTATCAGACGAATATTTTAGATGCATCAAATAATCATCCGATTTACAAATGGAAGTATAGGCATGCACATAAAACTTGAGGGATCTCCTGCTAGAAATAATGGTTACTTTCCACATACAGTTTCCGCCAACCATGCAATGACTGATAATGGCAAGCTTTCAGGAGTGCGCCCTCAACAATGAAACTTTTGCATAATCAACTTTTTTACAAGTCCCCTGGATCCTGACCGGGGGCCCTTCGCGGCCCCTTTCCCCCAGCATTTGGTTCCTCTCTTCGATGAGAACACTTGTCCCCCCACATAATATCACGGACCCCCACACTGCCCCCCACCCTACAGAAATATTCCGGCTACGCCACTGAACAGGACACTCATTTGGTGATCGCACCCCCTATTGTATTAAGAAAAAATAATTGTTGTATTATATTGTTGACATTGGTAGGATTTTTAAGTAAGGCCTATGAGAGTGTAATTTCCGGGTACCCAGAGATCCATCCATATTTTCAAAATTTTCGCACCTCAGCCTCAGCCATGTTAGGGCTGAGGGGGTATATATTCTCATGCACCCATGGCAGCAGATCATGGGGGCAGGGGATACGTCCCTCATAATAGTTATGACACTCGCCTTGACAGCGAGAGGTCGCAGGTTCGAATCTCGTCTGAGGAATTTTATTACACTACTACGTATTTATATAAAGGACAATCCTTACCATCATGTCTTTATTTAACACTGTATATGTACCTTTGATGATTTATATAATATTTATTCAGCAGTGTTAACGGCTAAATTTGTTCTATATCATATACAATATACGACAGTATTTATTTCTAGCCGTTTCTCCAGATAATTTACCTGGCCCTCTTGAGGCGCACCATTGTGTAATACAATGTTCCCGGCGGTTATTTGGACCTGTTCAACCATGAAGCCTTCGTGATCTAGTGGTTATGACGCTCGCCTTGTCAGCGAGAGGTCGCAGGTTCGAATCCCGCCGGAGGCATTTTATTACACAATGACTTTTATAGGACTTTATTCGTTGAAATGCTACAGGGTAGCCTACGATGTTCCATTATGTCCTTATTTAACACTGTATATGTACCTTTGATGATTTATATTATATTTATTCAGCAGTATTAACGGCTAAATTTCATCTATTTCATATACAATATACGACAGTATTTATTTCTAGTCGTTTCTCCAGATAATTAATTATCTGGCCCTCTTGAGGCGCACCATTGTGTAATGCAATGTTCCCGGCGATTATTTGAACCTGTTCAACCATGAAACCTTCGTGGTTATGACGCTCGCCTTGTCAGCGAGAGGTCGCAGGATCGAATCCCGTCGGAGGCATTTTATTACACAATGACTTTTATAGGACTTTATTCGTTGAAATGCTACAGGGTAGCCTACGATGTTCCATCATGTCCTTATTTAACACTGTATATGTACCTTTGATGATTTATATTTTATATATAACGGCTATCTTGATTTATATTTTATATATATATATATATATATATATATATATATAATATATAATATAATATTAAAGAATAATTAACACAATATATAATATAAAGTATATAATATAATTATATAGAGCTTTTTATATATTATATTATATCATATTGTATTGTATTTCAATATATTATATTAGGATATTAGCTTTCCTATATTCTTTTGCATGGTCACTATAAAATAAGAAATTATTTTGTAAGGAGGCCCAAAAATCGGCGTAGAAAACTTTAATAACTTATTTGAATAATGATTTTATATTTAAAGACTACGTTTTAATTATTATTAGGCCCCATAAAAAAAATTTATTAGTTTATCCACTCCTATGTAGTATTGCTATTTTGCTGTTTGATTTCTCAAATGACTGTGTGTTACAAGTTAGTTAGGATCCGATATCAAGGATCAGGTATCAATCATCCACCACTATGCACTTTGTGGGTATACGACAATAAAGATACAATGGCAAGAAATTCATTTGAGACTGGAATGAACTTTACTTGACACAACATTAAAACAAATGTATTAGGCCACATAAAAAAATTATTAGTTTATCACCCTATCAAAGAATAAATTTTAATGATGATCACAAGTAAATCAATAATTAGAGACACATATATAAAAAGTCATAATGGAATCAAATTTATATTTAAAAATATGTTTTTGTTGTACCAGTAAACATATTTGCAAGAAATCCTAAGCTTTTCAAGTGATAAAAGATAGAAAAAGGACCGTTTGAAATAAAAATATATGTTAATTGGAAAAAAAAAAAAAAATCAGATTTTTCCCAAAAGTGATGAGGGAGCGGGTGATAAACTAATAATTTTTTTTTATGGGGCCTTATCATTATTATTATTGTTATGACAGAATAATTAACAAGACATAAATATTAATAATGTTTATATTGACAGTCATAAAATTTAAAAAAAAAATGAATTGGGAACCAACATTTCTTTCCTATTATGATAGAAGGGTCATTGGTGTGATCGAATATTTGCACACAGAGCAGTATACCTGGGGTCACTCTCTCACAGAATTTTCGATTTACACCACAGCTGATAACATACCCTTTGACCTCGGAAGTTTACATAGAGCTCTAGAGAGAGCTACTTTCTTTCAAGCTTTGATCTTTTGGCGAGAGGGATGCGAAGGTAGAGAAGCTGAAAGATTTCATCGAATCTTTTTAAATATTGTATTGTATTCTTCTAACCGCAAATTATTGATGATATGTAGTCATTTGATTTTAAAAATCGCTTACCGACACAATGGTATTCTTAAAACGAAATCTACAAAGCAGTAATCGCTTGCCATGGACTTGTCACTTGATTTGTAAACAGTTATTGATAATTTTTTGCGTTGGGTTGTCGCTGAAGCATCCAGCTGTCACGGCTCAGCCAGGAACCGTGGCACCGGCAGGTATGATTTACTGCATTCTCTCCTATTATCTCTTTTTAACTGTCATTAGATGCTGGGCTTAGGACTAGGCTATATTTTGGATTACTTACCAGCTATACGAGTTTTGTATACACAACTGTAGGCCTAGAATAGATCACTACAAATCAATATTTATTATTTTGATGAGCTCACAGCTGACTGGGATGATAAGCTATTGACAGGTGGTGCATGCTGGTGATTCGAACATAATAACTAGCGATTGTCCTTTTTAGTGTAGTCCCACAGAGGCTACTGTTTAGTATAACATGGAGCAGACGACATAGAGCTATCCACATAATACAGAATGATTGAGTTTGATTCATTGATGGTGGAACATACTTGTGTCCCTGAGCAAAAGTACTGTATCTCTTCTTTTTTCACCTGGCCAGGGTACAGACTAGATGAGAATGATTTTTGATTGAAATTGTTCTGTTGATGGTATTAATTAGCAAAATTTATGGACCAGCACAATATTAAAAAATGCATTTAGAGTGCAAATTAGTGTCTTTATGCAAAGTTGTTATTATACGCAAGGAAATATTTCCATCTATCTGTACTCCGTCTGAGCGAATGTCAATGAATATGATTTGTTTTGTGAGTGCTTCATCGTATTGCTGTCACCATGGAATCATGTTGCAAATAAGTGTGTTATGTGTACTGTATATGATAGATGGAGAGTGGGGAGATATGGGCTTGTGCTCACCAAGATATCCCTGTAAATTTGTTGGGCAAAAAAGGTTTGCTCAAAAAAAAAAAAAAAAAAAAAAAGTAATAAGGGCACATAGAAAAAAATTACTAGAAATATCACTCTTTAAAACAAAAAAAATTGATAAGGACGGGAGGTTTTTTTTGTTGTTGAGTGGATGGGATGGGGGGATTATACATGGGAATTCCGTGTGCATGAACAGAACGAACATGACATCGTTTTTTTAAGTTGCAGATGCATTTAAAAAAAAACTGTATTGCCCAGTGATTCAATGGCCTAGCTGGTGAAAAAAATCAGATATTACTTGAGCATCAAAGGGAAGGGAACATCCTAATTATAGTTAAATAGTAGGCATATGTGCTTAGGCTTTTGTCTTTACCTCGAGCTAGACCAGCCTTTGTCTAAACTTTCTTTCTTGATGTCGTAAGTTAGTTTTTGCCCAACAACAACCAATCCAACCAAACACACACATCACAAGGAAGACCACCCACTTGTAATGCATTATGTAACAAGTCTCTGTGGAACATGCGAGTCTTCATGCTGTGAATCAACAATCCGATCAGCCCACTGGGCGGGTCTCTTTAGTGATGGACTGCGGTGTTGTCTATTTTTAGCCGCAGTTAGCGCGCTGTTTATTTTTAGCCACAGTATAACAAGTTTAAAGAATGGGCTTTGCATTTTCAACTTTACGGCGATCCCAATGCCTGATCTAATCAATTGGAAGAGTTTGAAGTCTGCCGAATTTGGAGCCAATTCCTTTATACTTGCTTTGTTTTTTGCAAAGTTGTTTTTATGCAGTTAAAATAAATGATGCGGGGAAAAAAAAAATTAAAAAATATAAAATTATTCCCGCATCAATATTTCCAAAATTTTTGATGCAGACGGGAGTGATAATCTAATAAATTTTTCTATTTGCCCTAAAAATCACCCCCTATGACCTTATATTTCCAGCAAACTCTCCTCACCTAATCATTATGGAGCCCCCATTTAACCTTTGTTCCCCCATTAGCCTCTTGTCAATACTCATGCCACTTTTGGTCCAAAAGCAGTGCAGTTACCTTCAACAAAGACCATATCATACATCTTTGGGTATAGGGACCTACTTAGATTTATTTCCATGCTTTATTAAATAATGTTTTTAATAATTATAGTAGGAACAGTCATTGGTTTTTAATGGTTGTTTGGCTTTGCAGTTGATTAGTGTACATATATTTCAATTAATGGTGTGATAGTAATAAGAAATATCCTTAATAAAAATGGAGGAAGAAAGGAAAGTAGATGAATGAAGAATGGAACAGGGGAAACATGTAATATTGTAATAATTTGATTTACAAAAGATGATGATGGCTTCAGTGTAGGCCTATACAGTAGTTAATGTGTACAATTATGTGATAATAAATTAATAATAGTATGATAGATAAATGGAGGAAGAAAGAAAATAGAAAATGAGAATGGATTAAATTATAGTACAATTGGTTTTAAAGAATCTTGTACTTTTAAAGCGCACAAAAGCCTTGAAAAATTCCTATATATATTGTGGTTAATTGTTGAAGTACTGTATAGGCCAGGTTTTCACTTTCAGGCTTTCATTGGTAATACAGTCTTTATAATTTCAGAATCTTGATAACTTTATTTACTCATTGTGCATGGTATCTCATTGTAGCTATTCCGTGTATGTTTATTTAACCTGTTTACTTTGATCTATGCAAATTTTATTGGTTTTGGCAAAAGAGCACCCCAGGCAAAAATATACAGGAATAATAAAGACTTTGTACAGTGTACTGTAAGGAAATCACAGACTTGCCATATAGTGTATACAAATTGCAAGTTGATAGAATAATCATTTTCATCCAATGCTGGAAGGGATTACAGGTATGACTATGCTTGAGGAACGCAGACCCTTATCTAAAGTCATTCAAATATAGTAGCCCCAGTTATTACTATAATAATAATATATGAAATTATTAAGGATACAATGCTTACTTAAAATAGCCATTCATAACGAAACACATTATTTCTTGTATACCTATGAGAGGAGTTAAATAGGATGGTGGCTAAGATGCTTATCTGCCAATCAGTGGCGTAACGACGAGGTCGTGAGAAATATTAAACACGTTTAATATTCTACTACGCGACTGCCCCCGACGCACACCATCGCGTCTGCGTTTAACTCACACAGATCCGACGCGACAACAAATTGCGTCGGGCTGCGTCGGCCGACGCTGTCTGAGTTGGCCTTAAGATGCTTATCTGCCAATCAGTGGCGTAACGACGAGTCTTAGAACCCAGGGGTGAGAAAGTGCGGGCACATGTCAGTGTCACGATTGTGGCAGAGGAGACGGTATAAGTGAATCCTCCTCCCTCTTCAAACATTATGAATTAAAACTTGTAAAGGATTGCATTATGTCAATACCGTTCAAAATTTTTGACCAAAAAAAATTGTTTTATTCTAAGTTTTTGGTATCTTATGGTCCGAGTATGAGCTCTATAGTAGATTGATACCGAGAATCCAGGTGTTATAACACTACTCCTAATTCAAGGATTCTAGTTCAATTCCTGTCAATCTATACAGGATTTTTGTTCACAACCAAAAACAACTCCACTCTTTACTGAATACATTGTACTGTATGTGTGTTTATTTGTATTGTGACTGGATTTCCACTTTGAAGAGTGATCCTTAGTTCTTGTGGCCCTTGTTGTAGCTAAAGCTGAATAAACAAAAGTGCTTATAAACGTTTTTTGGTGCTGTACTTTAATAAACATTATAAAAGTTCAGGTTGATTTTCTAGATGGTTTGGGACACCCCTATTAAACAGCCAACCCCTAATAAGGGGACACCCCAATCAAGGGGGACAGGGACACGTTCTGAGTGTGCCAAAAGGTCAATACATCCCTATTAAGGGGACGCTTTCTTTTTTTTCATTGTATTAACAACAATCTCAAAAAAAGTTATTCAACTTTATATTTTGACACCTTCTGAGTAATTCACTTAAAATCAAACCAAAATTCTCTCCCCTTGTATAAAGCAATCGACCCTTACTGTAGATATGAAGGATTTCTTTTGCTTTGTGTATGTTCAGATAGGATTCTAATCCATACCATAACATGTGCAAGTTGTTACTCTATTCATGCTATGTATCCAATAGAAAGCTGAATATTAAAAAAAATATATTTGGTCATTTACATTGCATCATGAAATAATGGGAACCATATAATAATAAAACTACAGTTGTTTTCATTTCTGCTGATTTCTTATTATACGGATTTAGTTCTATTTCCACTGTAATTCTTTCTTAGGTCTTTAATGAAAATAAAATTATAAAGAATGTATGTCATCGTTGTATGAAAACATGCCAAAAACCCCTATTAAGGGGATATTTTCACATTTTTGGTTAGTGTCTCCTGAATAGGGGTACCCCTAAGGGACGCTGTTTTTCTCCTGAAGGTGTCCCACTAATAGGAGTTTGACTGTAATTTGTTTGAAACATTTTTGGATAAGAAGGGGAACTAACATTCAATAAAATGTTTGTAATATTCAAATGTTCCCTACTATATTCCCACAACTAAAGTGGGACCACAGAAAGTGTTTACCAATATGTATTAAATTTCTATTTAATTTATTTTTTTAGTTAAAGTTAAAGCAGAGAAATAGAAATGGGAAACAAAGGCCTACTTTATATCATATTAACAACATACATTGTTCAGGAGATATTATCCTGATATACTATTTTAAAAATTTCCTGTTATGTACATTAATGCAATTTTATTAGAAAAGTTTTTTGTTAGGCAAGTCGATTGGTCTAACAGAGTGACTCGAGAAGAAGATTAGAAAAGTACAACTTGTTTTATGTATAATATTATTTTGTGCTATAAAATTGTTATTTTCAGTTGCTTTTTCATCATAAAAACTACCATTAGGCTTAACCTTAAAATGTCAAAATGATTATTATGGAGCTGTAATTAGGTTTAGATTTATGAAATTATCTTTTTGTAAAAATGTGATGTTTGCAAGTAGTGTATATGCCATATACTGTACTGTAAAAATTCTACTACAATAACCCATTAGTAATGGGTTACTGTATTGTATTAGTAACCCTTTCTAATAGTAACCCACCCTAGAAGTAAATCAACCCACTACTTTAATAAACCCATGGTGTTACTATTAGTCACCAAATCTGTAGACAAATGACATTCAAATCAAAATTTTGTCGCTTTATTAAACACGATCTATTCCTTAAAATAGGTACTGTATTCTTCACGTTGTGATTTCGCTGTT